ACAGAAACGACTGGCGAAATAGACTGGGGAAGGTCAAGGCTCAACTAGAGCTGTAGCACCACTGATGATGATGATGATGACTTAATATTTTATTTTTATATATTTATCATTGGAACATATAAATTGGATCTTTTTTTCTTAAGTCGTTTGTTGTTATAAACCAGTCGTACTAACTCTGACTCAAATGTTAGTGTTAATGACTAAAAAATTTTGTTCTCTGTGTCGGAGATTGAACCCGAATAATCCGGCTTGGTAAGGCAGTAAAAGAGCCACTAAACTACGGCAGCCATTAAATCTTATTCTTCTGGTGAACTTCTTCCTAAGGAATCATGTTTGGTATCACGTCACGATAAGATGACGTGATCGCCATTTAATAGTGACGATCATGTTTGAATAATCTTAAATTCTGAAACCCGTCAACTTAGTTAGAACGTCATTGGAGAACAAAAAACTAAAGCAGAGGATTAGCATTCTCTATTGGGATACCATTTTACTGCAGCGACGTTCACTAAGCCATTTCGAGTGTAAGCTGTAATTATTCAAGATTTCAGCATAGGTCTAAAAATGGATCTTAATACCAGCTTAGAATTACTTAAATAAACAATAAACATATATAAACAATATAATATATAAATATACGATAAATAAATAAACAATAATTAATTAAATAAACATTAATACCCACAAAACGAAACAAATGATTATCAGCAAGGAGAATATAAATGGGGCTCATCTATACATTAATGGGACGCAAATAGAGTGAGAAAAACAGTATTGTTACCTGGGAACTATTATTAATGAACAGTGGAGCAATTTACAGGAAATAAACTGCCGCATCTGAGCGCCATCTTCAAAAGTCACAACATATCTCTTGATACAAAAATGAGACATTTGAGATGCTATGTTTTCTCTGTGTTGTTGTACGGGGCGGACGCATAGATGCTGTTCTTCTTGATAAGCGAAGAGAGAGATAATGGTCTGTCCTTAGCGACAGGCGACCATCAAAGAGAGTGAGTTCCTTCTTTGCTATCTTAGAACTGTCTGTATTTCGTAAGGGAGGGGGTAAAATGTAAGTAGGAAGGGTTATTAAGGGTTGGACTAAGATAATGATTGTAAAATTGTGATATAAGGATAGTTAATAATACAGCGAAAAAATTACATGATTTTTCGCATGTGAGAAAATTGAACATCGGCTAATATAAAAAGTATCATTACGAAAGAGAGATCTCGTTGTTAAAAAAATACAAAAATTTTCCTCATAATTAGACAGCACAATAAATACAAATAACAAAAAAACACATTAAAAGTTTTGGTTATGGTACGGGTGCAAGCACCCATCCATCTGGATATATTTGAGGCGAAAGACAAATGAGTCGCCTCAACTCTAGACAGATGGATAGGTGCTTGTACCCGTACCATAACCAAAACTTTAAATTTGTTTTTTGCGAGGTCTTTAAATGTGCTGTCTTTTTGAGGTGTTTTTTTTTAACCTTTCGAAGTTAAATTTCGAAGAAGAAATGTTCCCTCTTTCGTACTGGTACGTTTTAAATTTTGACCATAGCTCTAAAGATGTCTTTGTACGTCTAACTTGCTCAGCTAGTAAATTTCTATTTTGGATCATACCAATATCTAACCGCACTTCCCATTTCTTCAATTAAGGACGCTTTACAAATCAACAGGACTGTTGATTTGTAAAGCGTTTTACAGGACAACAATATCGTCTGCATAGGCTAGTGTAGAACCTGTTGCTGCTGAGTTGGCAGTTTTATACAATTACCCTCTCAGTTTCATTGGAACTTTTCGTCACACAACACACCAGTCATTTCCCACCACTCCACCCATCCCGCCCTAATTCTACTGCTTCCATCTTCACCTATTTCTCCATTGCTCTGTAATATCGGTCTAAGGTCGGAAGAGTTTCATATGAAATTTGGTTGGAGAAATTTTTGACTTCAATAAAAAAATTGATGGAAATGTTCATCTCCGATAAAAAGAGAAGGATTGAGTTTCTTTTTAATAAGTTGACTTTTGATAAGTACCTACCAATTTTTTGGGATTCTCGAATCAGCGCTTCTCTAAACAAAGTTATCAACAGTCGCGAGTGTTCTCAGTATATATATATATATATATATATATATATATATATATATATATATATATATATATATATATATATATATATATATCGGAAAAGGAGTACGACCGTCAATCCAATATATTATAAGGATCACTCAGACGAGTGGTGGGTTCTTATATCGGTCTCAAGGAGGAGAAATAAAAGACAAAGTTGATAGGCTACATTATCTATTTTGAAGACGTCTTTAAAATAGATAAAGTAGCCTATCAACTTTGTCTTTTATTTCTCCACCTTGAGACCGATAAATTTCGGACTTTTCAAATTAGGTTTTTATTTAGGATTAGTTAAGTAAATAAAATGGTAAATTGAAATATCAAATCTACCTGCATTATTTTAAGGATTAACTTCGGGTATATATTTTTA